CCGTGTCATGTGTACATACTGACCTGTGACTTCTTTTTCTCTAATCCATCAATAAGATTGTGTTGTTTTAGATAATCTAGAAATTTATTAAAATCTCTGGTTCCCTCGCATCCCCTCATATCACTCCAGTGATGAATGTCTTCCTTTTCATATACCTTGAATATCAATCTGGTTTGGGGAGAGCCAAATAACGCCTATGTAAGCTCACTCCAAGATCTGATGACAAGCCTGAAAGGGTTTGTGAAATCCTCCCATTTTGCCTGTGCCCGCCATCTTGGTAGCTGTGTCTTCTGAAAGGACCTGACACCTATCTTCTGAATTTGTTTTAGCTTCACCAAACTGCTTTCTCAGAAGACATTTCTCTTTTTCTGTCTCATGCCAGAGTGCTTAGCGAATGATAGTCATTTTTCAGCTATTGCTAATGACACTTAAGTACTTAAAATTTTTATCCGTAGAAAATGGATGGAGTTAGAGTTCCTTTAACTCGCCAAATTATGGCTCCGTGTTATTTGTCCATTTAACAACTGTTCTATCAACCCAGAATTTGATAGTTATTATACAGGAAATGTATTTTAGTTCCAGTCAAGATCTTTAAAGAAGTTGGGAGCAAATGGAGAAAGAACAGCTCTAAGACCAAAAGGAAACATTAAAATATTGTCTGGCTTGACCTGTTTTATCTGAATCTAACAAGGAGCCAGAGTTTTGGCCTTGGGGTCCCAACTCTGCCTCTTTCCAGCTATGTGACCTGGGGCAGAGTATTTTGCACCTCTACGTCTCAGTTTCATCTATGTAAAGTGGTGATAATAACGCTCATTACAGTGCTGAATTGTTGTGAATGAGAACATGCATGTAATGTTTGGCACATAGTGAAAACCTCAAAAAGAGGCGGCATTTAAAAAAATTATTATTTTCACAACCTAAAATTTTTGAAATTGAGTCATGATTTACTCCACCACAATTTTAGGTAGATTCATGATTTTCACAGATACCAATATCAGAGTCATAGAATAAAATATTTATTTATTTATTTATTTTTTGTGAGGGAGATCAGCCCTGAGCTAACATCCGTGCTGATCCTCCTCTTTTTGCTGAAGAAGATCGGCTCTGAGCTAACATCTATTGCCAATCCTCCTCCTTTTTTTCTTCCCCAAAGCCCCAGTAGATAGTTGTATGTCATAGTTGCACATCCTTCTAGTTGCTGTATGTGAGACGCAGCCTCAGCATGGCCGGAGAAGCGGTGTGTCGATGTGCGCCTGGGATCCGAACCCAGGCCGCCAGTAGGGGAGCCCGCACACTTAACCGCTAAGCCATGGGGCCGGCCCAGAATAAAATATTTAAAAGGGGCTAAAAATGAGGATGTTTGCCCAGACCACAAGTAGGAGAAAAATTAATGTGACTGAATGGGCACTAATCCTGGCTCTGTCATTACTTATGAGCACAATTATCTAAAACATGAGGAGTTTGAACTAGGTGAACACCCGGGTGCCTTTAAGTTCAAAAATTACTCAAATGACATCGGCAAAGACTTCATTCCTAACCACCATATGCATGGCCCTGGAGGTCTACAAAGATTATAGTATGGAAAAAATAAACTGTCTTCTGGGCACATTATCCCCCTGCCACCCCAAACAGCCAATGATTATTATATCCCTGATGCATATGTGTGATGGGGGTGAGGGAGGGGACAGGAAAGAGACCCCCCTCCACCCTTGCTCTCTGCCATGGGCTAAGCCCTAGATTCTCACTTCATTTCCTGAACATTATGAGAACTGGTATTATTGTCCCACATTAGAAACAAGGCCACTTAAATAATGAGTTGAAATAAAACGGAATCAAATCCCTGTAGCCCTTGTTCTATGCAATATGGGCCTAGCCTCTCTACAGGCACAGGCTTGATTGTCCCATGTGGGCTAAATCCTTACTCACAGCATTGACACTGGTTGCCCATCAGCATTGGTCTAACAGTCCTCTGCACATTGGGAATGTTGGCACCTCATATGCTTTTACATTACAGGAGTGCTAAGGGAAACAATTAAGTGTCTAGAGCCTGCTAAGGATTATTAAGTGCTGGCAGTTCCCCTCTCAGGTAATAGCTTTTGAGCCATAAAGGGACAGTTAAATAAGCACTTCCATTTTAATATCATTTTCAAGAGATAGAAAAGAGTCTAAAATTCCATTATGTCTAAATTTGGTATTGCTCTTTGGGAGGTGAAGAAACTTTATAGACATGTGCTTTTCATAAAGGGATAATTTCCTGCTTCAAAACTTCTTCAGATAGAATTTTTATTGGGGCAAATTGTCAAAGCTCCACAATGAACGAGATTCTCCTTTCCAGCTGGAAATGCATTCTCGCACAGGCAGTCAGTAACCCGTGCAGCCAGACTCTAGTGACGCTGCTTCTAAGTGGGGAGGTTAAGCTTTATCCAGCAAAAGGTGTTAGTTTTCAAGCCTGAATCGTGGCAGTGGCTGAGTCCACTGGCTTGAAATTCATCAATTGGCTGTCCCTCTGCTCTTCTGATCCACAGCCTCACCCTCTCAGCTGCCTCTTTCCCCCTCAACACTTAAACATGCTCACTTCTCTCCCATCTTAAAAAATTAAACACTGGGGGCCAGTCCAGTGGCATAGAGGTTAAGCACGTGCACTCCGCTTTGGTGGCCCAGGGTTTGTGGGTTTGGATCCTGGGTGCGGACCTACGCACCACTTGTCAAGCCACACTGTGGCAGCGTCCCATATAAAGTGGAGGAAGATGGGCATGGATGTTAGCCCAGGGCCAATCTTCCTCAGCAAAAAGAGGAGGATTGGCAACAGATGTTAGCTTAGGGCTAATCTTCCCCACACAAAATAAATAAATAAATCATAAACCTGAAAGTCAAAAGCTCCCTTGGCTGCTGGGTCTCCATATAGTTACCTTCCCCTTCCTTTAAGGTCAACTTGTAGTTGAACTTTTTTTTTTTTAAACCTCTTTACTTCCCATTCATTTTAAACACACAGTGATCATGGTTCTGCCTTCTTCTGCCCTTTCCCTTCCACAAACAAACTCCACCGAAAGTGTTTTCACGGAGTTCTCAGATGACCTCTTAGCTACTGCTTCCCACAAACACTTTATTTCATATCTGCCTTGACTTCTCCATGGCCCTTGATACTCTGACCACATCTTCCTAGAACTCTTTAGAACTTGTCAGGATTCTCTTCCCTGGTTTTCCTCCTACCATCTGGTCATTCCTTCTCGGGCTGCACCAAGGCCCTTAAATGTTGGGGTTCCCCAGAGTTCTCAGGACAGAACTCTTCACATACACTCTGGGATGTGACCCCAATCATTCCAAGACTTCTGCTTCCATCTTTAAGCCATCCCCTCCTGACCTTCCCCCCGCCCCACTGTCTCTGGTCCACAGCTGTCTTCAGCACTCAGACTTCTGAGGCCTACTTGGCACCTCCTCTTTGGTATCTCCCAGGCATCTTGAACTCACTCTGTCCAAAACATCCACTCCCACTGCGACCTGCTCTTCCCCCAGTGCTCTCACCTCAATAAACGGCTCCATGATCTAACAGTTAAACCTGGAAACCTATGTGTCATCCCTGACGACTACACTAAACTCTTAATGAGAGTAAAGAAGGAGATTCCAGAAGAAGACTGCCTGAGCTTGATTCTCTGCTCTCTCATTCATTAGCTGTGTCATCATGGGCGAGATTTTTACCTCTCTGGGCCTCTGTTTCCTCATTTGTAAAATGGAGATAATAATATTTCTATTATCACCACGGTGTTGTTATCATGATCAAATACAATAACTTTCGTAAAGCACCTCACGGTGTAAGTATTTGTTTACCTGTTCTCCTGTTTTAATCCATATTCTACATAGATCATAATATCTCCTTCTGCTTAAAGGCATTCAGTATCTTCCATCGCCCTCAGCGTCCAAATTCCTCGTCTTGTCTTTCAGGACCCTGCATGCTCAGCCTCGGCCCCACCGCCAGTGCTCAGCCCCAGGCTAAAGAACGTCCTTGTGCTCTCATCTCTGGGCCTTCCACAAGCTCTTCCTTCTGCCTTGAAGCACTCTTTCCCCCAATTCCCAGCCCTTTTGCCTGGACAGTTCCTACTCATTCTGCAAGTTCCAGCTTGAATGTCACTCCTAGGAATTCTGATCCCAGACTGGTCCAGTGCCCAGCCCTGATCCCCATGGCACCCTGTAATTTCCTGTGCAGAGTATGTATGCTTCAGTGCAATTTACTGTAACAGAGTCTTTGTCTGGTTCCTGCCTTAAACTGTATTCTCTGTGAAGGAAGGGACTGTGTCTCTTTTACGTCTTGGCCTCATTGCTTGGAATATCCTGGGTGCTGAGTACATGAGTGAACAGGCACACACACCCAGAATATCCCGGGTAGAGCTTATATTGAGGAAAGAAATCACATAAAATATGAACCTACAGACTCTTGGGGTTCTGGATGGAGAAGGGCTAGAAAATTCACTATCTGGTCTCAGGAGGAAAAGAATACAGAATATTTTAATTTTTTAATAAAATAGTTAATATTTTAACATTAAAATTGATAAATATTTTATTTTTAAATATTTTAAACTTTGAATCCTCAGTGATGGGCTTCATCACAGATTTAAATAGTTTTTAAAGTAGAATTAAATGTTCTAGATCTGTGTTTCTCAATTTTTTAAGCCCATAGTCCATTATGAGAAACCAAACAATTTCACACCCTCACCGGCACCCCACCACATTTGACAATTACAGCATAGGAGTCAGCTTCCCCATTTTCCCACTAGTCAGTTAGTTATTATAACATTGAATATGGTTTTTCAAACTATGATACCTCCAGAGAGTCAGAAATTTTATCCCACCCACGTCTCTCAAACTCCTGAGTTTAAAATAAAAAGAAACTCATGCATTTCTTTAATGAAAGGGCATGTGCCTGAACGGTGCGCATTTTCACCTGTGGGATGCTTCTTATTCTCAGGCAGTGGTTTTCCTAACGACTGGGTCTTCTTCTAAACCAGATGCAGTTACATGATCGACAACGTGATCCTACTGATGAACGGGGCACTGCAAAAGAAATCTGTGAAAGAAATTCTGGTGAAGTGCCATCCACTGGGCCGTTTCACAGAAATGGAAGCCGTCAACATTGCGGAGACACCTTCCGATCTCTTTAATGCCGTTCTGATCGAAACCCCATTGGGTATGAACACATGAGTAATTGTATAGCTGCTGTGTGTGTTATCCCAGGAATTAGAAAATGTCCATTCAGTTCACAATTTTCTCCCCGAATACAGTGTTATACTATATAGATTCCTAGATGTGGAAGGGGCGTTAAAGAATCATCTAGTCCAGCGCCCTCATTTTTCAGATCAAGACAAGTGAAGTAACTTCCCAGGGTCACATACGAACCACCTGTACCCGAGAAGGAGCCAGGGCTCATCTCTCAACCTCCAAACCCTTGTACTTTGTACCAGATCATAGCAAATAAATGATAGAACTTATAATTTCTCAAAAAATTAATTTTCTAGCTGGATTTTATATGGTTAGTTTCTTATCCTTTCATTTTAAACTTCTGTCTAAATAAGGCTACATATAGGAAGCATTGTGTTTTGGGAAGTTTAAGAATGCCATTTTTCTGAGATGCTCAGGAGCGTCTGCCAAATGACCTGAAGCAGTGATGAAATGAATGCTAATTTCATTATAATTCCGCACTAACGATAGTTCTAGCATTCAAAATGCTAATGGGATAGTTTTATATGCATTATTGTCAGGAAACCTAGATGGTAGCAATTCACCATTGATCATTTGTCAAAATAGTTGTCATTTAAAACAAACTTTAAAAAGAAAAAAATTTTTTGTATCATCATTAAGTGTCTGATGCTAAGGGAGGATAGCACGGTGAGAAGAGCACATCCCTTCCACATCGTGAGCACGAGGCCAGGCTCTGTCAGGTCCCAACAGGGTGACTTGGGGCAATTCAGTTCACCTCACTTTCTTTGTTTTAAAAATAACAGTATCTGATAAACCAATGTTACTGCAATAAAAATAAATAAATAAAAAATAAAAATAAGAGCCTCTCACTATAACAGAGTTTTTTGTTTTTGGGTTTTTTTTTTTTTTGTGAGGAAGATTGACCCTGAGCTAACATCCTTGCCCATCTTCCTCTATTTTCTATGTGGGACACCACCACAACATGGCTTGATGAGCAGTACATAGGTCCATGCCTGGGATCCGAACCTGCGAACCCTGGGCCACAGAAGTAGAGCAGGCAAACTTAACCACTACGCCACAGAGCCGGCCCCTATAACAGAAAACTAAATAAAAAACTAAATAAAACACGGTTTTAGTACAACTCAATGCTTGGCACGTAGTAAGGTTGCAAATAGTAAATATTACTGTTAGCTAATGGGGGTGGGAGTGCTCCCAAAAGTAAGCCATAAAGTGAACAGTTCCAAGGTGTTGTGAGGATTAAATAAGCTAAAGTATATCCAGTGTTTCGTGTAGGGCTCACACTCCTATTGTCATCATTACTGTTGGCCTGTCAAGTCTGGACTGCCACCCCACAGTGTCCTAGTCTGGGGTGAGCACAGCTGGTGCGTTTAGGAGACGTTGTCTACAGTTTATCATCATGCTTTTGACTTATTTATCTTGTATGGTAATTTCTGCTTTCAGCTCCATTCTTTCAAGACTGTATGTCTGAAAATACTCTAGATGAACTGAATATTGAATTACTACGCAATAAACTATACAAGGTAACTGTTTCCCCAAATGTTATGTTTTTCTTTATTACAAAATACATCATAACCAGAGTTCTTTATTAAATGTTACTTTGCCCATTAGCCACCTTCTGCAATTATGAAGCTGTGCATACTTGGAATATAGCTCTTATACTCCTGGCCCCCACCCAGCAAGATTCTTGAGAGGAGGTAACACACCCCCGTCTTCTCTGTATCGCTAGCTCCTTGCATGGTGCCTGGAACATAAAAGGCATCATTGGATGGGTGGGTGGTGGGTGGATAGATGAGTAAAGTGAACCATATCAATCTATTTTAAAGCAACCAGCGTACATAGTGAACCTTCTGTTATGCAGTGTCCATCTCTGTCCTTGATCCTGTTATAGAGTCCCTGGATGTCACAGTTAACCTATGACACACAATTTTAATCTACTGTCATGCAGCATACCAAGATGACCAAGTTGTGGACACTACATCATAGGTAGCACTGTGTATAATCTGGCCAACTGTCTGTCTGGATTATGCTGCCACCATCTGAGTAGCTATATGTAATATGGGCTGAGCAAAATCAGTCCATTTTCACTCAGCAAACCGTAGCATCTTTGGACAATCTCACAGAGTAACTGAATGAGTATATACTGCCATGCCATATATGTAGCATGTTATGCTGAAACATGTGGTCCTTTCAAAACTACTACATTATAGGCAATTTTCCTTTTTATGGAGAGTCTTATGGGCTTAGAGGAGGCCTCCTTGAGATGTAGCTAACAAAAGGCACTGTTGTAAGCAGGTTATAGTATTAACTCACTAAACCACCCAGCAAAACTACGTGCTATCCCCATTCCTCAGATGAGAGGACTGAGGCACGAAGAGGTAATATTTACTTGGCAGAAGTCAGTTAGCTGGAGAGTAATAGAGTTGGGATTCAAACACAGGCAGTCTAATGCTGCATCCAGCCTCTGCCTTCCCAGTGCATCTCCCGTGCTCAAAGCCATCACAAACGTGTCTCCTGAGCACCAGGGAGATTAAATGTCAGCATAGGACCAGATATAGAATTATCTGTTGAGCTCATAGAAGAGTTTGGCGCTCTTGTTAGAATAGCAAGAATTGACCATGTGAAATAATCCAAGAACCATGCAAAAAAATGCTTTTTAAGTAATTATAAGGTATGATAAGTACGATTTTGTTCCTTAATGGAATTCTCTTTTTAGGCTGTGCAACATGCTTCAATGTGAAAGTTTGTACCAAATTTATTATAAAATATCTCCTATGGGAGAAGTAATTCAATTTCCATTAAAGCATTCAATAAGCCATGAAAAGCTGATCCAGAAATTTCCAAAAGGAAAATGTATTCATTTTATTGTTTTGTGATCTTTCTTCAAGTCTTACCTCGAGGCATTCTATAAATTCTGTAAGAATCATGGTGATGTCACTGCGGAAATTATGTGTCCCATTCTTGAGGTAAGAAAGAGTCTTTGAATTTCTTTATGCCAAATAATGTGTTTATACATACTTTACATTTATATAATCCTATTTATATTTATTTGTCTTAGAAGCTCCTTTAACATAAAATAAGCAATATATTTTATTATATATATCATTTAATGTCTTCAGTTAAAAGTGGTATTTTCCAAGTTTTCTAGAGTTATTTTGGAATTAGGAAAGAGTAATGCTTATAAAAGTTTGGTGATGATTCATTTTGATGTAATATGAAGACAGTAGATTATAATTAGCTATAAATCTGGTATCCTATAGGCAACTGTGGACTACAGGTACTCATAATAATCACTCAACTTCCCTCCAACAAGGGAACCTTGGGCAGCTGGAAACTCTCACAGCTTGGCACCAAAGTCCACTGTGGCCGTTGTTTTCTGTATAAATCCTGAAATAAAGGCCTCCCCAAGGAACCCCTGAGCATTCCAGCTTGGGAAGACTCCTTGGGTTATGAGATTCATGGCTGGTGTGCTCACTTAATCGTGTGTCAAATGCCACCATTGGTTTCTAACTCTTTAATTGATGTTATACTTTGTTTAATTCCTCTTTATCATCGCAGATTTCATCTGTGCTCAGAAGTTCTTTTGCTTGTAAACGTTGATCTACAATCCCTGCATGAGAGATTCAGGCCATAGATCAGAAGGAATGCGGGCATAGTTTGCACTGAGTGTTTTACACAGATAGATATCTCTTGCTGGCTTCCTAATTCACTTGAATTTAAAAAAAAAAAAATACCTTTCTGGGCTTAGAAAAGCCCTTGCTTTAGCCTGTGAAGCTAAGTTTTGTCTAAAGAATATCTTTAATCATTAGGTTATCTGTTAAACTTCATTGGTGAGTAGGTATTTAAATAGTTCAGTAACTTCTGATTTCAAGAAAAGCCTGATAAGAACTACCATTTAGGCAAAAAGGATGGGGGGAGAAAAACCCTGATTAACTTCATCTACATATATTTTAACACAATGTTCTGAAACTGTATATGATAAAACTAGTTCCCCTGAAAAAACATCTAATCGCTAAAATTTTGCAGTTAAAGATACTTTGCTATCCCCTCTTGAAACTCATAAAGTGAAAGCAGTACTTGAAATAAAAAGTTTATCGCTGGAGAACTCCAAAGGATATTTTTTGTCCTTATCAATATTACACAGAAAGTAGGCATCGATAAATAAATAAGTGTTTTTTCATGGCATACTCAGTGTCAGAAAGTGAACTAGTCTCTTTCAGACATGCTGATGGAGACTGTGTCTTCATAAATTTAACTGCTAGCCACTCTATAAGAAGCCATACTATCCGTGGCTCATAAGTATAGTTTCTAGCATAGAAAGGCATAATTCCTATGGTTTAGAAATGATTCATGTACTTTATATCCACAAAACCTGTGAAATAGAGTTATGTTAAAACTTGTAACCCTACAAAAGGTATACAGTGGCACTACTAGCATTTATTATGCACCAGATACTATCCTAAGTGCTTTATATACACGAATTCCCTTGGACTTCAAAATAGCACAATGAGATAGGTGGTTTAGTACTTATTTCTCAAAAGGGGCAACTGAGGCACAGAGAAGGCTAGTAACTAGCCTGATGTCACACAGCTAGTACGTGGTAGTGTCAGAATTTGAGCCCAGGCAGCCTGGCTCCAGTTCCTACATGTTTATCCACTACGTTATATTACCTCTGCATTAAATTCACCGTTCACAGTTCTTGTATAAAAGTAAGTGCTAATTCGTAAGCAAGATCACACTGCATGGGCTATAAAAATCAGAAACAGATAAGAATTATGTCTTCGATAGATAAGGAGAACAGATTGGTGGTTACCAGAGGGGAGGCAGTACAGGGAAAGGGTGAAAGGGGTAAAGGGGCACATGTGTATGGTGACAGATGGAAACCAGACTTTTGGCGGTGAATATGACGCGATCTATACAGAAGCTGAAATATAATGATGTACACCTGAAATTTACACAGTGTTATAAACCAATGTGACCTCAATAAAATAATAAAAAAGAAAAAGAATTATGTCTTTGTAATCTCGGTGAGGTTAAAAGAACAGCGTAGAATTAAAAGAATACTTGTCACGAAGAGTATCTGCTCAAATAGCTCTATGCCCAGCGTGCCCGTTATCCCTTCCTAGACCCATGATACTACCATATCAGAGGAGATTTTGTTCAAGCTATGTTAAAAATAAAAGTCCACTTAACTATCTTTATACATTTACATAGAAACATCAGTTACACATGACATGTAATTATAACGTTTCTAATGATGTGATCAGAAGAGATTTATGTTTTACATAATTATATCAGATCTTATTACTACCTCCCTTTTATCTGTGCAACTATAGAGCACTTACAGTTTATAGTTCTTCCACGTATATTCTCATTTAATCTCATTTGACAGGAGACTTCAAAACACTTCCTATGATGGAAGAGAGTATTAACCTAGGCTTGCACGTGAAAATGTGACCTAATTACAAGATTGTAACTTCATATTTAAAGAAAAAGAATTGACTTATGTTCCAGGCACATACACTACAGTGTGCTGTTTGCCTTTTATTCCTGCTCTTCCAATAGTCTATAAGTTTAATGAAACAGTGAAGACAAGCACAGAAGGTTTCCTCTCCTTGGTCAGTGCATGTGTTGACAAGGCTGGGCCTGATTCAAGGTCACGCCCCTCTCGTCCATTGCCGTCTGCCCCTCCACTCACTGCCCTGACCAGGTATCCCCTGCCTCCTGGAGGGATCTGGCAGGAATGTGGGCTCTGATCAGCCCAGCTCTATCGTGTGCAACAGTAATGATTTTGAATAAGTCAACAGTACATTGTTATCTTTTGCAACAACAAGAACAAAAGAAGTTGTGGTTTTATAATGAATGAGTGTTTGCAGGGCAGAGTGAAAGAACAGATACGGGACAGCTGACATCCACTGTGCAGACAAGATGCCCACCCTCTGTCGTGACACAGGGCTTCCGTGAGACTAGTCCTACCCACTTACTCTCCTCCACAATCAGATGTGATGGCAAACTGTCTGCCTGCGGAAGGCCAAAGACAGGAGAGCCATTTCACAATCCCCAAATTGTAGTGCTTTTCACCAAGAGAATACACACACACACAAACACACACACACACACACGTGCACACACAAAGAGCCTCTAGACTGGAAGAAAGTAGTAAGATAAATATACAGACAGTTACGATAAAGGGGAAATGAAAGTATAATAAGGGGTCAAAGGAAATCCTATCCAGTTAGGGAGGAAATTAAAGGGCTTCTTAGGAGAAAGATCGCATTTGATGGGACCCTCAAATGCAGGTAGGATTTCCATATGGAGAGTTATGGGAGAGAGTACATGCACATAAGCAAAGGGAAGAAGTATTAACAGAGACAAGAAGTTAGAAAGTGTATGGAGTGTTCAGGTGACCTGTTGTATGAGTTGAAGTCCTCTCTTCTTGGCGTGGCATGGGAAGCCTTTCGTGTTCTCTCCCCAGCTACCTGTCCATCCTCCTTCTCCAGCTGCTTCCCCAGTGTGTGAGCTATGACCATTCCCCCAGAATGTCATGCTTTACTTCATGCAGCTTCCTTCTCCAATGGCCTCTGCTGCCTTGCATGTCCTCAGCAGTGCCTTCCCCACCCTATTTCTCTCCTTAAAATCCTAACGTGTTAGAACTAGAAAGCACATTGAAGAATGTGGGGGACAATTAACTCCATTGTTGCTCTTTCTGCCCTAGTTTTTATCAAGGTTTCTTATTGCCATGAAGTCTCGTTCTTGCATTTCTTCTCTTATCCCTGGAAGGTCTAAAATTACTGGCAGGACTGGTTATATTCAGTAGCCAGAGGCAGCTGCCTTTGCTTCCAAATAAGGCCGCTCCCCGCTTCTGGCTCACCCATACTTTCCATGAGAGCGATCAAAAGGGTCAGGAGGAACGAACTCTCTCCTGATAGGAAACACCTGTTCTAACAAGACTTCCAGTAAAATCTGTTGCAAGTCTGGATTTGTTACTGGTTAATTAGTCAAAAATAAGTCGATCAAAGGGTATCGGAGAGCAATTCACGTCAGCTTTAATGTGCATACGAATAACCTTGGAACCTTGTTAAAAGGCGGATTCTGGCTCAGTAGGTCTGGACTCTGGCCTGAGACTCTGCATGTCTGACAAGCTTCCAGGTGACGTCAAAGCTACTGATCCATGAAACACACCTCGAGGAGCAACATTGTAGAAAATATTAGAGAATTTTAAAAGTAGTAGAATCATAGACTTTTCTGTTGGATTCGGTAAACAGTTAAGATCTTCCTATGCGTCAGGCACTGGATATTCAAAAATGAACAGTGAACAAGAGAGACGTGATCCTTCAAAGATTTTACAGTGTAATAGGGAAAAAAGTACGTGCTGGTTTTAAAATAATGTGAGCACAAGGTGCTTCAGGTATATGAGAAGAGGTCCTAGCCCAAGGACACCATGGCAAACTCCCATGGCAGACAGAGGAGCCCATGAAGGACAGACTGCGATGGAAGGGTCAGAACAGGTAGGAGGAGAACCAAGAGATAAGAGAAACATAGAGACCAGAGGAATAGAAAGAAACTTCAAGAAAGAGTGAGCATTAGAGGAACTAGAGAGGCTGACCTGGGGCTGGGAGCTTGGATGCCTAGTGGTGCTTAGCACAGAGAACATGGGCCGTGAGTATATGGACCCCCTGGAAGATCATGTGGCCCAACCCCATCATCTTACAAATAGGGAAACTGAGGCCCTGATGGGAAGGTAACTTGCCCTGAGTCACATAGTTCTTAGCTACAGAGTTAGATTTATTGATATCTAACCTAGGACTTTAAAGAAGAAAACCCAAACTGTGAAAATACAAACAAAGGGTAAGTAGCACAAAGTCTCCTTATGTAACAAATCACACTGACATCCACAATCAGAAAGGAATGTTAGCATGTATGACATTCGCCTTTTGTTCCAAACACCCTGCCAGGCACTTCCACTTACATTATCTTGTTCTATCCTTGAATGGACCCTAACAAGTAGATATTATTCCCATTTTTATGGAAGAGACATTTGAGACTCTAGTGGCCTATGTGCAGAGTGCCTGGGAACTAAGGTTTAGTGGGGTTTCAAGAGTCAAAGGCCGTTATCACTGCTGTGTGATCCTTCTCTGGCAAGCAAGTTACTCTGTTGTGAGGCTAAGGGAACAGTAATAACACGTGTCTGTATTATAATTAGACATATATCTGGAAAGGAAAGCAAATCACTTCGAAATGAATTTGTCTACTTAGGGTTCTGTTTATAGCATTTAGTAGATGGTAGATTTCACTGATTTTATGTCTTGCAAATGCAGTTTGAGGCTGACAGACGTGCTTTCATCATCACTCTTAACTCCTTTGGCACCGAATTGAGCAAAGACGACCGCGAGACCCTCTACCCAACCTGTGGCAAGCTCTATCCCGAGGGGCTGCGCCTTTTGGCCCAAGTGGAAGACTTCGAACAGATGAAGAGAGTAGCAGAGCATTACGGAGTACGTGCTGAACTGAGGTCTCACGTCATAGAAGCTCACATGTCAAATTGACACTTCTTCTCTAAAGCAGTTGTCATGTTTGTAAGGTAGAAAGCAGTGTCTCTTGCAGTAATGGCCCTCCCAAAGAAATGCTTCAAGTTTCTGACTCAAGCTGGTGTTTTTTAAGTTTCCTGCCAAGCAAGTGCTTGTTGAAATCTCCAAGGAGCGGTCATCTGAGCACTTCTTGTGAAGGGCTTGATAAAGCCAGCTCCCCAAGGGACTGGTGCAATGTTCTGGAAATGTAGGCACGTGTCCAAGTTATGTAAAACGGCCTGACCCAGCCGTCTTTTCAAGTGCCCCTTGGGTAAACAGGGTTAGGGACAGATGTTCCTCTGATGTCCATATTGGTTTATACCACTTGCTTTGCTCGATGACCAAAATTAGGGAAGGGAGAGAGGGCTGCCGTGTCCTTCCCTACCTCGGCATCTGCTTGTTCTTGCAGAGCCTCCAGTTTCTCATCTCAAGGTTACACACCTCATCCTCTGATTCCACTCTTCTGACTTACCCACAGTAACGTAATTCCCTCCAGGTGACTTTTCCAGAACGGGAATAACACTCCTCCTGTCTTCTGTGGATTTCTGAAGCCCTCCAGGAAGAGAAAAGTCAGCAAATGATGCGTAAACCTTTGTAATATCTCATAGGTCATTACAAGAGGCTCCTTAGCAATACTAAAATTAGAGCTTCTCCCCGATTTCCACCTCCTCCACACTTGAAATTCTGAGTTTTATCAGTTGTCATCTCAAAGAACTCATGAGCCCCTACAGATCAAACTACCAGCATACATTGAGCCTCTGTGATGTGCCTAGCTAGTCCTAAGAACTGAATGTGGAAATTGGCCCTGACAGTGTGGATTGAGAGTAGAATTGCTTTTGCTCCTTGCCTTGTGGCAGCCTGAATAAGCCAATAGGCTAGAATATCATCTACACTATCTTGTTATTTGGATTTTTTTGGTATTTCCTCAAGAGGCCAAAGATCCTACAAAAAAACATTTATTCCTTCCAGATAGATTTTTTAAAATAGATGTACAATTTCTCTATTGGTAGGAAAATATATTCATATATATTTATAAGAAATGAGAATATGTTAAAAAATAATCCTTTATCTTTGTTTTTAAGGTGTACAAGCCTTTGTTTGAGGCTGTGGGTGACGGCAGTGGGGGAAAGACATTGGAGGATCTGTTTTATGAGCATGAGGTATGATACAAATGGAAATGCTATTAGCTTATATACTCTTTTTCTCTTGCTCTGGGTTTTAAATATTTTCTTACTTTGGGTTTTCTTTTTACAGTTGATCAGGCCAGTTAATTAGGCAACTTCATAGTTTGACAGTCAGTGGGGTATGGGCATCCCGCCTTGGAGAGCCAGAGCCCTGTGGTTCACATATGATGGCTTCTGGTGGAATTGTCCTATCCGGACAGACGTGCACACTATGGATCTCTGGAAGTAACACAGCTATTCCGTGATTAAATAGAGAAACAGAGCCGGGACAGTCTCATAATCATGTGTTGACTGTCCTCATGGTGCTCACTCTGTTAGGTTCATCTCACTCCCTCTCCATCCCTCTACAAGAAGGATTTGTCTATGGTTATAACTCATGGGCACAATTATAACACTTAGGAATTATTTCTATGGAAATCCATCCAGAGAGTCTAGATTATTCTCTTTCCCTAAAAAGGGAGAAGAGTACTTAATCCATTTATAGCCGGTTCCTGGGCTACTGAATTGTTCAACAAAAGGACCTTTTGTTTTTTTGTTTTTTGGTTACCAGGTAAGATTCCTCAAATCTCGAGAATTATTCTAGTGTATTCCATTCATGTCCCTAAAACCACTGTACTTGCATCTCAGTCTGATTGGAACAAACAGAGAACCGTGAAATTTACCCAAACTTTAGGATCAGGCTGGCTCCAGAAAGCCGTGTGGGGGTCTTCCTGTAAGGCCCACTCTAGACACTCACCAACAGCTCTCTAGAAAGAAGTGGAAACAGTGCAAGTTATCCCACGTTATTAGGGGTGTTTTAAAATACTACACGATTGCATTACTGCTACAAGGGAGCATTAAGGAAGCCGCTCGTGGCAGGAAAAAGGAGTGTCTGTTTGTGAGAGCAGGGGCCTCCTTCCTGGCTACTTTGCTTGAGATCTTTGCTTGAGAACTGCACGAGGGCCTCAGCACCTCTCCCTCTTTTTTCAAAATGGAAAATAAAGGATTTGTTCTATGTTAGACTTTACTCCAGTTAAAAAAATTTTTTTTGAAAATTTTCTTTTACTGATCTACCTTCTGCAGAAAAAAAACATTCAACTGTATGTCGAGTTGCTGCAGAGCATCCTAAGAAAGTTCATAGTGTCTGCAAGGGGATAAATTCTAGGGGCCTGTGACATTGCTCTGGAAGGGTATTAGATGGCCTAAAAACCCTTTACAAATTTTTTAAGTTGTGGTCAAGGAAAAGTACTTTACCTAAGTGAGATAAGCCCACTAGCTAGAAGTCAGATAAATATTACTACAAAATTACACGCTCACACACACACACACACATACCCCAAAGTTTTCCCAGGAATCTTTGTGCCAGCAGTGCTGCTAAGACGTGGAGCTTGTTCTGTTTTTCTGCAAGCTTACTTTTTACACTACTCTTGTCTACCTTTATCTTCAGAGTGATGCTCTCCCTTTAGACTTGCTGAGTTGCTACGGTTTTCCTCTATTTGACCCAATTTGGACATCGTCTATTTAAATATAAGCAGTGCACAAGCACAGGCCAGGCTAATATTATTTGGTCAATGTAGTGCGCTCCAGATAAGTTATGGTCCGTGTGGTCTTGTTTGGTTTTTCTTCCTCAGGTGCAAATGAACGTGCTAGCCTTCAACAGGCAATTCCACTATGGCGTGTTTTATGCGTACACAAAGCTGAAGGAACAGGAAATGAGAAACATCGTGTGGATCGCAGAATGCATTTCACAAAGACATCGAACTAAAATTAACAATTACATTCCAATTTTATAACCCAGTGAGGGGCCTCAAGTGCAGAAAATCGTACGTGTTAAGAGGAAGTTATTGAGGAAAATGAAAGGAATTGTGTTTTATTATCTAGGATACACCAAAATAAGCCACACTGCACCTTTGTGAATTGCAGAGTCACTGGAAACACGGTAAACCAGCCCTGAAAGAAAGTGTTTCTTTTTCTTCCAGCAGCCTTAAATCTTGTTTCCACATTTATATCTCATTCTTCTCCTGGCCTTAGACGTTAATTGTAATTAACCCTATGGTACTTTTTCTACTCTCGTTTGGTTATATTAAAAATCATACCCAATAAATATTGCTTCTCTTGCTTCTCCACAGGCCCAAATACTGAGTGTCTGTTTTACATTTTAGTTGTCTGTTCCTTCCTTAGGTCCACAAAAATTCAGAGCAGTATGTAGCCAACACGGACCACATGTCATGGGAAATATTCTATTTTTTTTCCTAATACACTTCAATCTGGATACAAGTAGTGTTAAATTTGTTATTGAGGTTATCGCTTACAACCTACTTTCTCACAACGTTCTTTAAATAAAACGTATATCTCTCTTTCTTCCGATTCCTTTTGCTTTGCCCGAGAAGAAAATAACCCCAGGAATTGTATTTTATTCATTCAGAAGCATAAATCACAGATTCAGTTTTCAGGATATGGATTCTCTATTAAACTTCAGTGAAACTGGTGCATAGAACTACCAAGAAAAAAAAAGCAACAAACACTGCTTAAGTCCTTTCTTTAAAAATAAGAGATTCCTAAATAGAAAATCTGTATTTGTTATGTATTTTGAAAATTAAACGTATATACATATTTGAAAGTTCTTCAAGTAAGAATATTTACAGTGAATACTGGATTCTAGAATTAGGTGCATAGACCAAAGAATAAATAAGTTTTTCTGCAAAAATCCAACATTTTGCAGAATATTTTAGTCATTTTAGTGATAGGGACTTTTAAGCATAAGGAAAAACAGTGGCTCACCTGTGCGGGAGGCCCAGCCCACAGCCGAGTCCTGATGGCGCCGAGGGTCAGTGTCCTGTGGAGGGCTCCAGTACAGACCCCTCAGTTGGACCCAAAGAGCCTACTTCCCACTGCAGCCCCTGGTCTGGAAAGCCTCCTCTCTGACTTGCTCTGGCCGCTGCATGAGGCTGCTGTCCTTCCCTTGAGAGATCAGAAGACATCTGAATTCTACATTTTAACCTCTGCTGTCTGCAGTGGGGGGTTTGACTTCGGGCTTCTTCAAAGGTTGAGAGCAAAGATGCTGACAGGAAAGAGGCAGCTTAGAGAAAGTTATCGAGATGATTCTCAGACTAACCCCTTCCCGGCCACCTCTGTGTGATGTGGCTGGGAGCCCTTAATGGGCCACGGGGCCACAAGCTGAAGTTACTTCTCCCTTTCCCTCCACATAGCAATGAAGGCTCCAACCCCCTGAACCCTTCCGCAGCCACCAGGTCTAACCATTGTGTGAAGACATGAGACAGGAACTTCCCGACAACCCCATGAGGCAAGTAGAATGTGCCCCTGTTAGAGGAGGATGCCCAAGCTGCAATTTAAGGAATTCGCCTTCAACTTCCATAGCTTGTAAGTGTCTGAGCAGGGATCTGACTTCTCTGTCATACCTCAGGGAACTGGTTTACATTAGAGAACATGGACTTTTGAAAAACATTTTAAATTCTCTAAAATGAGGCCAAAAAATCAGGTATACAGAACAACACAGAAAACGATGAGGCAAAAAATGTATTTACTTTTCTAAGGGATGAAGGTGAAGCCCCTTACCATCCCTTTGCCACCCTCTTCCCAGCAATATTTCATCAATCTAAAACTCCCACCCCCATAGTTGGGCTTGGAGCACCGTATTCCCATGAATTCTGCACCCAGAATTGCTCGCAGTCTGCAGCCTGTGCAGTGGTACCGACGTCCAGCCCTCCCACTCGTCCGTGTCCCGCTCCCTTACGCATTGCTCTCCTCGGTTCACATGTCCTGTCTCAGTCTATCCATGCACAGGAGCTTACAAGATCTCTAATAAGGTTTTGAAGGCAGGAGAATCTGTGGTGCTCTATGGGATTCAAAAGTAACGGTTGCAATTCTCAGGAACTTGAGAGAACATCTAAGAAGAAACGCAGTCGTTTCATATGTTCCGATGCTTTAGGAATGAGACACATGGACTGAGGGCAAATGGAAATGACCACTCTGGCCGGCCCCGTGGCTTGGTGGTTAAGTGCTTGCGCTCTGCTGCTGGCGGCCCGGGTTCGGATCCCAGGCGCGCACCGACGCACCGCTTCTCTGGCCATGCTGAGGCCGCATCCCACATACAGCAACTAGAAGAATGTGCAGCTATGACATACAACTAACTACTGTGGCTTTGGGGGGAAAAAATAAAATAAATAAAATCTTTAAAAAAAAAAAAAAAAGGAAATGACCACTCTGAATCTGGGTGAGTTTGGACCAAGGCTAACTATTGTTGGACAGTGAAGGGATTCAGTTAACTGTGTCCACCCCCTCCCCCAGCATGGTAGCAATGTAGTAAGACATTGAGAAAGTTACATAAATCTTTGTAGAAGGAAGAAAGACTTGATGATGATCAGATTTGAGGAGTTTCATTATTAGTAACTCTTAAGTTTACCACTTAATGCTGTTAATGGTGTCAGATCTCGCAGATAAGATGTCGATATGGGAAGGATACAATGACAATTTCACTCTGTTTTGTCTGAGTTTAAGGAGCAGACAAAATTCTCCTTACTGTCTGATTGATTTCAGTCATTTTGAGTCATTTTCTCTTCACTTCAGCAAAAGGAAGCATTAATACTTACATGTATGGACTAGAATTGCTCAGGAACATATGTGACATTATCAGAGGGTATCATTCTCAGTGACATCATCCCTTATGTCTCATAATAGCTGATTCCAGGAGTCTTGGTATCATTTTGTATTGCTTCATAGTCATAAAATGTATAAGCTTTACAAATATGGAAACAGAATGTAGAAACTACAAGGGCCAAACCACCTGCCCTAAGCAATTTGCCATCCTCTTTCTCCTCTTTTCCATCTTCGTTATTCCATGTGGCCTCCCATCAATGACTTCTCCACATCCCCCCTCTTTCTCCTCAGTCAGTTGGGCTGCAGTTGTCAACTTCCACCACCAACTGAAGGCTGAATCACTGACTGATCCAACTCATCAGAGCACTGCTCAACACAGACCATATCCGGCTGCCTATGCAAGGGAAGGCAAGTTGAAATTCTCTTTGGAGAGAAAGGAGAATAAGCTAAGAAGATGCATGTACAGACTAGTGTAAATCAATATATTAGACAGGAATTGTCCCCAGAGAATTATCACTCCAAAAATATCCACAAATGCCATTTAAAAGCTAGGATCATTGACAAGCTGTAAAAGCACGTGAGTAGTTCTGTGACAATAGTAGACTTCTGAGACCCCTGAGACTGTTGTTATGGTCTAGCCAGTGCAGATCTCTTGTTGACAAAGTTGGAAACAAGCTAAATAAATAAATGAGAAAGTATTAGGTCTCCATTTCAGGTAACAAGTACTAGGCCCCCATTCGATAGAGAGGGCTCTCATTAGGACTGGCTGTGGTGGTTTTACAATATGTCTGCACATTCTTTGACACTCCTCCCACCAGGAGGTGGGGTCTTTGTCCCTTCTTGAATTTGAGCTGGGCGTAGTGACTTGCTCATAACCAACAAAATCCAGAAAAAGTGGTGGTATGTGACTTTCAAGGCAATGCAGTTTCCTGTGCTTACTGGATTTTGGAGTCCTGAGCTACCAGGTAAGTAGTCCAACTTCCTTGAGGCTCCAATACTGTGAGGAAGCCAAGCCACCTGGAGAGGCCTAGTATAGACAAATATGACAGTCCCAGTTGAGTTCCCACCAATAGCATCAGCTACCAGCCATATGAGAGAGCCATCTTGGAAGTCTGGCCCAGCCAGGCCTTCAGATGCTAAAGCCCAAGCCCAATACCTGACCACAGCTGCATGAGAGCCCAGGTGAGAACTATCTAGACAAGTCCTTCCTAAATTCCTGACCCGCAGAGTCCTTGACGTAATAAAATGGCTGTTGTTTTGGAACTACTAAGTTTGGGGTAGTTTTATGCAATAATACTAAACGGAACAATGGTGCCCAGCGGTCATCATTGAATGTGTCCAACAGGTTTTTGTGGTCACTCTGAAGTCTTTTCTAAATCCTGCCTGAGTCGTCCACTCTCCAACCATCTTTGCAGGTGATCAGGTCAGAGATAGTTTTCTGCACGTATCACCTATGAATGAGTCTCAGCTCTGACCTGGAGGGACAATCTCTCTACCACTTGAAGACAGAAAGGTCATCCCCAGAGCCAGATATGAACAAGCAACTCCTGTTGACGATGTAGCCATCTTGTTTTCCAATAAGAGTCGGCAGCACCAGACTCACTGACATGGAATCTAGCTCTTCATGGGCAAAAGTCATATTACCTTTGTCATTGCTGCTGAACAAACAGCAATTCTAGACTTTAAATAATTTATACATTTTCAGATTCTACTTATGTAGGTTTTTAAATTAAAGCACTTAATTCTTCTCTATTCAATTGTTAAAGCTGAAATGCGTATTTCATTCTATAAGATGCTCATTGTTTTTAAATTTTTCGTTTGTTTCAGTTTGGGTTTTGCTTTTAATTTTCTGGTTTTTATTTAAATATGAGTGGAATACTCATATATTACAGTTTATTTCTGCAACATCAGGAATTTTTAAAAATTAAAAGATTTTATTTATTTTTTCAGCTTTGTTGAAGTATAATTGACAAATAAAATTATAATATTTAAAGTGTACAAGGTGATGATTTGATATACATGTACATTGTGAAAGGATTCCCCCCATCAAGTTAATTAACACATCTATCACCTCACATTTACCTTTGTGTGTGTATGTGAGAATATTTAAGTTCTACTCTCTTAGCAAATTTCCATTATACAATACAGTGTTATCGGCTATAGCCACGATGTCATACATTAGATCTCAGAACTTACCTTATAAGTGAAGGTTTGTACACTTTTACCAACCTCTCTCTATTTTCCCCAGCCCCCAGCAACCACTTTTCTACTCTGTTTCTATGAGTTTGACTTTTTCTTTTTTTTTAGGATTCCACATGTAAGTGAAAATTAAAAGGAAATGTATAGCTAAGATTTTAATAATCTTCATGATTAGATATTTTTTAAATTCAATAATCTATTTCTTAAGATTTGTGGAGGCACGGAAGAATGGGTGACCATGAATCCCAGCTCCCAGTGTCCAGATCACGTGGTTTTGCTCAAGGACTCACCCTGGCATTGTGATGAGTGGTTTATACCGAATAAATCTGTCAGAGCCTCAAAGTCTTTTCAGTAGAGAGATCGGAGGAAAGTCATGCAAGATCCACCTGTGCA